CCATCAGGTGGCACAGTGGTTAAGGCACTGGACTCCCACATACCGGACCATGGTTCGAGTCGCAGCTATATGTGTGTGCATGCCCAAAATCCCAAGAGGGGAATTGTGGCATGTCCATCCCCACTGAGGAGTGATTTCTCACTTTCTGTCTCTCTGGCAAGTGCACACACCCTATAGCAAAAATCTAAAAAAAAATTGTGTGTGATGATTTTAAAGAAAAATGAATAGTGTTTTCCCTAATAGCAGTGAGAGCACACCTCTGCCTCAACCCTAGCATCCAGCAAGGATGTTTAGACAGAGCACTCACTACCCCATGGCTAAGTGTGCTTGACCCATAGGCTGTGGCTATTTTTCTATTTGGCCACTGGCTAGTACAACTGCCCAGAGGTTAAATCATAGTAAGGCAGGTGACCCCTGCCCCATGAGGACTCTCCAGGCTGTCATCAATAGGAAGAGACCCTCATCTTAGTCATCTTTGAATTGCACCCTGGACACCACCCCACCACTCAAACTCTGGTTGATCAGCCCACCCCCAGAAGTCCACCGCTTCTGCTGAGCAGCTTTCGAATCTCTGCAGTTCTCCTGAACACAGCAAGTCCTGCGAGAGCCAAACAGGGTCTTCTTGGCAGAGGTGAGTTTATTGGGTGCCACAGAAACAGCAACCACCACTCCTCCGTGGTCCATTCACCGAGGTGCTGCAAGGCTAACATTCCCTCACCTATCGCCAAGTGTCCTCTCATTCACGTCCTCTTAGCAACCACCTGAGGCGCTGATCTTAACCACCAACCCCGAGGCCTTTTGGAAGTCACAGGCATCACCAACTCTTTACATCACACATGTTCTCTTTGTAAGAGTACCCCTAATGTTTCCAGTGTCCTGGGAGTGCGGAGCTGCTGGTGTCACCTGGCCCCAGCCTCCCAGAACCATGTCTGGGCCAGTGCTTTCCTCTGAGGGCCCACACGTAGCTCCTTCCATTTCATGGTTCCACACAAGGTTATCAACCCTCACTGCGATCCAGAATCTGCTGAAGAGATCCCAGGAAATAAGACTCCTGGTTCCTGAATTCACCCCCCCACCCTCAGAAATTAACATTCAGGTGGTCCGGGGTGGAGATGGGACATCAGGCGACTAGGATCTTTCACCAAGATGAGAAGTACGGAGCTCCCACTGCTTATTAAGTCGGGTGGAACAACAGCAAACATGATGGGAACAGGTCGGTTCCTGGGCTCAGATCAAGGTTCCTGGCCCCATTGGTCTTCTCAGGCACTTCTCAGCCACACACTCGAAGACACAGATGAACAGAGGGCACTGGTGGGCCCCTGGCTCCTCCACGGGTCCCACACTGCAGAACACACAGGCTTTCCCATCATACCTCCTCTGACCCTCATGGTAACTTGCTGAGGGGGGAGGCAAGGATCACGGTGCCCATTTGGCAGACAAGGAAACTGAGGTTTAGACAGGGAGAGAGTTTGCAGAGTGTTGACAAGAGCTGGGCTTGAACTCAGGTCTAGTAAGTCTGCCTTGAGACCCTTCCCAAGGGTCTGCTTTGGGGAAAACCAAGGCGGCTATCAGCCGTTATATGTAGTCCCTCCAGAGGTCAGACCGGTTGGTAATGGGGGACATGAACAGAGACAGGGTCTGGCCTATGGCAGCAGTCCTGCTTGCAAGGTGGGTCACATTTGTCTTTGAGGACCGTGCATTCAACCCCTTTGGTTTACCCCAGCCTCTCCCTCCATTCTGCCAATGCCGGACTGGAGGCAGAAAAAGGTAAAGCAAGACCAACCCCTGTGACCACTCAGTGTGACAGGGGATCCCAGAACCTGGTGACAGACAACAGTGGTGGCCCCTTCCTTGTGCAGTGGCCCCACAGAACAGCCCTCGGCAGTCTGGGTGCAGGGGCCTCAGCCTGTCTCTTCCACTCCTGCCAGTTTCTGCCCCACGGGTGGGACCAGGTGTGGTGCCCCGGCCCTACTCCCCTCCCTCCCGCACCCACCCCAAGGGCTAGCACGGGTGCAGACTGCTGTCCCGAAGCCTAGTCCTCCTTGGGTTTGCGGGGCTGCCGGCAGGCCAGTCTATAGTCGATGTAGGTCCCCAGGCAGGACCACAGAATGAAGCGGGCCAGGAGGATGACGACCAGCAGGACCAGCAGCGGGTCGGGGCCTGCGTTCCCAGCCAGCCAGGAGGTCATGGCCCAGCCTGCTGCCCCAGAGCAGCTACGGGGCCCTCCACCTACAGCCAAGGTCGAAGCCGGTGGTCCCAGTGGCCTGAGTGACCAAGGGCCCTGGGTCGGGATGCTCAGTCCTGCTTCTCGTCGGGCTCCACCCTGTTCTCTCCGCAGCCGCCCAGCAGGCCAGCCCTTCCCGCCAGACTCCGACTGGGGCCTCCCTGGCCTCGAGAGGACAGAGCGGGACGGCTAGTGGCCTCCGTGGTCAAGAGGCCCGTGCGCCATTCATGCAGAACCAGCCGCCCTTGGTGGCGACAATGCCGGCATTGTCCCGAGGCGGGCGGGGGCCACGGCGCCCCCTCACT